TCTATCAAAAATAACATTTGTCAAGCAACACATTCACAATTTGATCTTCATATCCAGATTACAACGATAACAATATGAGAAGTATAAGAAGTTAGTCAAAACTGAACGATGTAAATATACATCACATAGATGAAACAAATTCAAGGAAGAAAAACTACAACATGATGAGCATGATCATTATCTCAAACAACATAATCAGTCAGTGATCTACTCATACGTATGTACTACTGAAATACAATTCGATACAATTCAACTAAGATCAACTCTCCACCTCATACTCACAAATATATGAAAAACAAAAGAATTCAATATTGTCAACAGGACAACTGACAACCATTCTCACTAGTCCTATCCTTCAACAATCTGACTGATAGAAACTCTAAAAATATATCAAACATGATTATATTGTGAATGGTGAGTAATATCTCTGAAGTTTCACACAAAACAAATCGCTGGTTGTCACTGCTGTTCAGATATCTGGTGGATAACACTGATATGTATGAACAGATAGTGAATACTGGATTGCACTATTCCAGTATTCCATCACCAACATTGAGTGGGAGATCGATCCATCACACAGATGCATTTCAAACTGTACACAATACGCATTCACTATTCCACTATCCCACCGACACATATCATATCAGAAATTTAAACACCCATTCAACAGATTTACTCATCAACACACATTCATTCATTCATTCATTCAATACAACATCAACATCTCTCAACAGACACAATGTATAAACAATCATAACTCATCATACATTCAACGAAGTTCTCTCACAATCACTCAACATCGAAGGACTGATTGTTCGAGAACAATCACATCTTCATTGATCCACACTCACACACTCAACATACAGATCTCTCAACAAAACACACTCTGACATATGTACAGTCTACACAAAATCAAATAATTCTCACCGACCACAATGAGTTCATGTAGATTTCTATTTGTCATTGTCATATATATGCCAAAAATCGTAACCAATATATGCAACGGGATAGAGTGAAAAGAAATCGAACAGAATGGAATGAGACAACGGTGGGCATTGTTTGAATTTCATTATTTATACATATTGTAGTGAACGAGAACACAATTGGGGACATTCGAACGTATATGAATACAAAATTACAGAACGTCTTTATAAATTCTGCGAACAATACAGTAACTACTTCAGTTGCAACGTATCAATCAATTGTCTCAGTCTTGACTGTTCTTTCATTTCCACACCAATCATTCTCTATTCTCGTTCTATTCTCTTCGATCTTCTGAACCTTTTACGTCAATCATTTCACTTTCGATTGATAATATATACTACTTATATCTGTCAATATCAGTAGCACACATCACAATAAGAAGAATTCAAATGGCAGTACAACATATTACATTTTCTTTGTGTGTGTGGATAGATTATATCTCTCTACTTGTACGTAATAAGGTAATATGATCTGATAAATTTAGTCAGTAAAAACAATGAATAGGCTTTAGTCAAATGTATAGAATTCAACTAAATTGAATTATCCTTAACATAACTAATTGAATATTGAAATTTATCCATTCGATGAAACAATACAAAGCAAGTGACCTGTTTCACATTCACATTTGTTCAGTGGTTGGAACAAACAACTATTTAAGTTTTATGCAATTAGTCCTTTTTATGGATTAAAATAAAGCTAGAATAAATATAGATAGAATAATATGAATTCATTTTCTGTTGTTGTGGTTTCTCATTATCAGCTGTTTACAATTAAATATGTATTAGAGTTTTATATAACTTCTGGCTAGCATCTTTTTAGCGAGTTATTGTTCTACGGAATGGGGTCGCTAACCCCATGACCAAACCTCCTTCTTTATCTGGGCTTGGGACCGGTAGAAGCCCCAGGAGTGACTCCAGACGGAGGAAGAAATCAGGAAGGAACGCTGGAAGTGGATAGAAAACATATTGCGAAAAGCACCCAACTGCATCACAAGACAAGCTTTCACATGGAATCCTCAAGGTCAAAGGAAAAGAGGAAGAACACATAATGCCGGGAAATGGAGATAGACATGAGAAAACTGAACAAGAATTGGATGGAACTAGAAAAGAAGGCCCAGGGTTGGTGAATGCTGATCGGCGGCCTATTCTCCATTGGGAGTAACAGGCGTAAGTAAAGTAAGTAAGTAAGAATTTTACATAGAGATAAGATATAGGTACGGAACAATTGACATAAGTGAATGTAAAGGATTGGAATGATAAATATTATCAATGTTAACTATATATATATATATATATATATATATATATATGTAAGATAAATTTTGTGATAAATTTTAGAGGTAATAAAGGGTTTACATAAGATTCATTGAATTAAAAACTGAAGTGAGACCAACATGGAAAATCAGGAAGTACTGGATAGCCGTTTCGTCCTAATATGGAACTCCTCAACAATGTGCATCCATGATCCAGCCTCCAGGGATTCCAACCTAGGACCTCTCAGTCTCGCGTGCGAACGATTAACCTCTAGATTACTGGGCCCGCCGGCACACAATGGTGTTAATGTCTAACTTCAAATAATCCACGAAATTGAACGACACATCCATCATTGTCATCAGTGAGTTACTGTCTCACAACAGACCTGGTTGAACTCCACTGTTTACTGCTTCTCACTATAACTCCAAGAAATCCCTCTTGAAACCAGTCATTAGGGAGCATATGTTAATTCATATCAGAAAGGTGTTTTTGTGAATACTATAGTAATTTCAATGGTTGAGATCATGAGTAAATTGAAGCGAAACGAGATCGTGGGTGCACACTTTTGAGGAGTCCCACAATAGGACGAGACAGTCATCCAGTGCTTCCAGGTTTTCCATGTTGATCTAGCTTGACTAATGATCTCAACCATCGTATTTACTACAATCTCCACAAAACCCTTTTCAGTTATTTGTTTGTAAGTTTACATTTGTAATCTGAATTATTTACAATTTAACCTAAGTTATTTTATTACTAATACATAATACTGTTGGACCGCCTATGCTCCTCTACAAGGAGTAACAGTCGTAAGTGATATATATGTAACTCTTATTATTCTGTTTCCGATTAATCAATTTAAGTAGTATCATTGGACATTACATATAACTCAGAATATAGTACATAATGATTTTTTTTAAAAATTTGTTTATCTGAATAGTCTTTTAAATAACAACACTATAAGAGAGATTGACCAAATAAGACAGATAACCGGAATACAAAAAAACCCTATGGAGACAACAAATCACAGACAATGTGATTAGAATGAAGTAATAACCGATAAATTCAATTGAACACGAAGCAAGCACAGATAATGTTCTCCAGAAAACAAAAAGATTAACATATAAAGAATTTAGCTCAATATACGAAATTATTCATATGAGCTGTGAATTGATTCAGTTACTTAATTTTATTTAAACACTTAAATATTGATACAACAAGACATCAAATACATATGCATCACATAAATCATTCGATTTATGTGACAGCTGGCATACTACCCAAAGGCTCAAACAGAAACAGGTAGTTTTCTTAAGGGGCCATACTCGGAGCTTACGACCTAAAGGTCTGATCCAAATGGCAGTGGAGTAACGTGAGGAGATGCAGTTCCATGGTAGCCAGTGATCAACGATTGGTTCATTTGTTCCTTCAGGATCGTGTAGCCCATATGCACCATTGGTTTGGAATTAGGGTTTTTCAACTCCCCTATGTGGATTCTCCGTATACACCAACGGGGTTAAATCACCGGACATTCACATTTCGTCCTCTTAATTTCATAGACAACACCCCTACCACGAGAAGGCAGTGAGTAGGACTCTCCTGGCAATGGCTTTATGCACCAAGGCCATCGGTTCAATTATCATAGATGATCCTATACTCCATGATATCAGTTTATGACTAATTAATTAGGAAATTTATATGAATAATCATGTTAAACATATCCAAACATATTCAATAATAAATATGTTAATAATAATGATAATTGTAGTATCGGTTGACATGTTAAGCTCATATATCTTATTCTACCTTTCGGACAGGTCAATCTATTCATTCTACCTGAGTCACATTTTGACCTTGTTAATTATTCGCTTATCAACCTTGATTGTTTTTATATGGGCGCATATATCTGTGTACACTTCTTCTCCTATTCAGCACATATCCGTAGCCTATTTTGATGTGACTATAAATATTGATTAACACTTGACTAACGGGGAGTTGGTTTGCCCGCCATCTCCACTGCACGTCGTTCCACTTCGCTCTATTTCATTCGCTTCATATACAAAATATATGTATTCAATAAGCCATTCTCGCTATTTGACTTATTTAATTCCATTATTGACTAACGCGATTTAAGTCGATGATTAATATACGAGGCGACATATATATATATATATATATATATATATATATATATATATATATATATATATATATATATATATATATATATATCGACAACGATCATTCATATGATCCAATTGGATCAGTCAGATCCAGGGCCACTAAAGTGGACAACTCTTGTCAACAAACATCGTTCATTCTAACTGATGTCAAATGGAAGGGCCCCAATAAATAATAACAAATATAAATAGTAAGCAATGATGGATAGTGGCTAGCAGTGAAATCGAGGACGCGCGCTTCGTCCTATTTGGAACTCGTCAGCTGGATGTACCTGCATCTCAGAGTTGATGTTCACTCTGTGACTCGAACCCAGTACCCATTCAGCTGACGAGTCCTAAATGGGACGAAACGCGCGTCAAACTGGATTCCACTGCCAACCACTGTCCATTATTGCTTACAAATAGCTTGTGAATTAAGGCAATATCGAGGCATACGCACAGTATGCACATATGCCAATAACACACTGATCAATTGCAGTTTTAAACCTCAATGGAAAGATACAAGCCAAATAATACCAAGTGTAATATAAATAGTACTAATATTTACAACAAGAACAACAACAACAACAACAAATGTATTCATTACCTTGGTCTACCTCTAAGCATATAATATGCATCAAGATTTTCCATATATTTATTCAATGCATCACTAGTATAAAATAATGACATAAGTTTAGCTAATGCTTGTGCACGTTGTTGATCATTTTGTATAGTTGAAGGATTATTATTATTATTAAGATTTAATTCATCTCCATTAATTAATATTGAATTAGATTGAAATAAAATCAATTTAATTAGTAATATAAGTAGTATACTAAATGAATTCATTGATTTCACATTCCAATTCAATGAACATTGTCTATACATATGATAAGCCATAATTGTTTGTTCTTTTTTTGTATTATTTCGAATGTTTGGCAAATTTCTTCAATCAAGAGTTACTACTAAACTACTATTGTTTATTTATACATGGAATAAACTAAATTATGATTTGTTATTTACTTATTTTTTTATGATGAGTAGTTTTCTCTTGATGTTGATTGGTTAGTTTGTATTTCCCACTGAAAAAAAAATTTTTTTTTGGCGAGACTCTAATTTATGGATGAGCCAATCAGAGGCGTTTTTTAGAGATTTCAAGCTGACGGTGCCAATTTCAGTGCTGAATGCTAACGTACAATCGGTTCACAGAGAATTTTGTACAAAACATGATCATAGAGCGGCTATAACAAATAAAACGGCGAGACTATAATTTGTGGATGAATCAATCAGGTATAAGATAGCAGATCTCGGATTTTAACGCGAAAGCCTTTCATCCATTTGGCTGAATAAATTTCTGGCATTATAGCTGATGTCAGTTCGTGATGAAAACCGCATACAAAATTCCCAACTAAGGCAAATTACGACAATTATTGCGAAGTGGATAATAAAAGCACCAGTAAAACTGGCTACAGCCAGATACTACAATATATACGGATGATTGGAGAGCGTACAGACTCCTACGTAGGCTTGGTTATGTGCATCGTGTCATTATCCACAAGTGGTATTTTGTGTACTCAACAATCGTAGTGCACATAAACAATATTGAAGCTATGTGGTCGAGGCTGAAATAGTTTTTGAGACTTTATCATGGTTCCAGAGGCCGACTATTCTATAGCCGTATGGATGATTTCCTCTACTGTATGCATTACGATTTTAGAACCTCTGAACCTCTTTCTAACTTTGAAAAGTATTTGAACCACGTATAAGAAGTGTATCCACTTTATTTTCTTGGTTTTGTATAACATATTTTTACTCTATACTGACTTTGCTGATTTCTCAAGGTCACTTAAGATTCGTTCAAAGGTCGTCCATAAATTAGAGTCTCGGCAAATATTTTTCTCTTCCTAAAAGCATGACATTGAAGAATGACTTTTACATAAATAGTTTACTTATCAGTAATATTATTGTATATGTTTTCGTTTGGATGATATTACGTAATGACTTGATAGTTCTTATGATAGGGCAGTTTGTTGTAAAGTTTCCTAAAAAAAACGCTATCAAATGCCCTGGTACAGTCGAAAGTGTGGAGAGTTTGCTCTCCCTCTCGAAATACCCTCACATCGTCACTAGCATACAACCACTGTCAGGGAAGTTCTACAAAATTGAGAGAACTAAATGTGAATGTCCGGTGATTTAACCCCGTTGGTGGATACGGAGAATCCACATAGGGGAGTTGAAAAACCCTAATTCCAAACCAATGGTGCATATGGGCTACACGATCCTGAAGGAACAAATGTCATATGAACCAATCGTTGATCACTGACTACCATGGGACTGCATCTGATGAAGTTACTCCACTGCCATTTGTATCAGACCTTTAGGTCGTAAGCTCCGAGTATGGCCCCTTAAGAAAACTACCTGTTTCTGTTTGAGCTTTTGGGTAGTATGCCAGCTGTCACATAAATCATTCGATTTATGTGATGCATATGTATTTGATGTCTTGTTATATCAATATTTAAGTGTTTAAATAAAATAATTAGATAAATCACTGCAAAACGTCAGTACTTTAGATTTGATGTTTATTCAAGTAAAATAATTTAAAGGGAAAATTTTCAAAGAAAGCATTTTAATTTGTTCGTAAATATCAATATGGGATTGTGGAGATTCCGATGTTTTTGATTGTGATCATGAACCAATATATGTTGGACCACCATTAAAAACCTGAAAACACTGGACAGCTGTTTCATTTTAGTATGGCACATCTCAGCGCTGCTCATCCACGATCCCACCTCTCGAGATTCGAACGCTTAACCTCTAAACCACTGACCTGGAATGTGAGGGTGTTAATGTCTAACATCAACTAATAGTGCCACAAATTTCCATTGTACTGAGTTATATATCTGTTTCTAACCGACGCGTATTAGCTTCACTGGTCACTACTTCTCACTAGAATTCATTCACGAACCTAGCCACTAATGAACACATGGTAATTATCAGTATGAGGGTTGTGGAGATTATTAGGTTTTTGATTGAGTCCATGAATCAATTGATATTAGACCACAATTGAAAACCTGAAAGCAATGAACGACCGTTTTGTCCTATTGTGAGACTCTTCAGTAGTATGCATACACCATCCAGATCGCGGGATTTGTCTGGTAAAAATTTAATCGTGAAAACAATTAGCGAATATGAAAAATGGTTATATAATCTTTAAGATAATTTCATTTTTCTGCATTACCAAAAAGTGGCGTATTAATAATAGCAGTTATTATTACATTTCCAAATTTAACTAATTGTGTAAAACATATTATGATCACTAAATAGATCTCAATGAGATCACCCGATAATCACCATATACAAATAGGTAGAATGAATTAAACATCAGTACATTGAATATTAATTTATTAGAAGTGTGAAAAATATCTTAATATACTGTCATCTCCGTTTCACATTATCTGATTTGCAACTACGTTAACTAATCATTCTTACGAAATACTGAAAGATAGATGGATAAAGGAAGACAAACACTAAATCCCATATCGGTTGCAATCATGAGTGTCCATTGTTGTTGTTGAACAGTATCGAACTACCAATATATTAGTTATTGTGTTTCCACAATATCATTGATTATCGTCTAATTGAAACAAGTCACGCGTTTACATAAATCATCTTTTAAATTCAAACAATGCCCACCGTTGTCTCATTCCATTCTGTTCGATTTCTTTTCACTCTATCCCGTTGCATATATTGGTTACGATTTTTGGCATATATATGACAATGACAAATAGAAATCTACATGAACTCATTGTGGTCGGTGAGAATTATTTGATTTTGTGTAGACTGTACATATGTCAGAGTGTGTTTTGTTGAGAGATCTGTATGTTGAGTGTATGAGTGTGGATCAATGAAAATGTGATTGTTCTCGAACAATCAGTCCTTCGATGTTGAGTGATTGTGAGAGAACTTTGTTGAATGTATGATGAGTTGTGATTGTTTATACATTGTGTCTGTTGAGAGATGTTGATGTTGTATTGAATGAATGAATGAATGTGTGTTGATGAGTAAATCTGTTGAATGGGTGTTTAAATTTCTGATATGATATGTGTCGGTGGGATAGTGGAATAGTGAATGCGTATTGTGTACAGTTTGAAATGCATCTGTGTGATGGATCGATCTCCCACTCAATATTGATGAAGGTTTACTGGAATAGTGCAATCCAGTATTCACTATCTGTTCATACATATCAGTGTTATCCACCAGATATCTGAACAGCAGTGACAACCAGCGATTTGTTTTGTGTGAAACTTCAGAGATATTATTCACCATTCACAATATAATCATGTTTGATATATTTTTAGAGTTTCTATCAGTCAGATTGTTGAAGGATAGGACTAGTGAGAATGGTTGTCAGTTGTCCTGTTGACAATATTGAATTCTTTTGTTTTTCATATATTTGTGAGTATGAGGTGGTGAGATGATCATAGTTGAATTGTATCGAATTGTATTTCAGTAGTACATACGTATGAGTAGATCACTGACTGATTATGTTGTTTGAGATAATGATCATGCTCATCATGTTGTAGTTTTCCTTCCTTGAATTTGTTTCATCTATGTGATGTATATTTACATCGTTCAGTTTTGACTAACTTCTTATACTTCTCATATTGTTATCATTGTGTTCTTGATATGAGGATCAAATTTTGAGTGTGTTACTTGACAGAAGTTATTTCTGATAGATTGTTCTTGATTGTGTGATGTTCGAATTGTTCATCTATGGAGTATTAATTGGTTTTGAGTGTTAGATTAATTTGAATTGTAATATATTTACTCTTCCGTATGTTCATATTACATCTCATTTTGTCATTCATTTACCGTTCCTCAATCTAGTGTGTTACATATCATATTTAGTGTTCAAGTATCCTGCTATCGCATAAACGGATCATTAATTTGTTCTTCTCATTTCTAGAATAATTTGGTTTATTTAGTTATCCTCAAGTTGATGTTTTACTTAATTCTATTTGGTTAACCATGTAGTGACCTACTTTTATCAAGAGAAAGCGATTGGTGTAGTGGAAGCAATTATTATTATAACAAATTGTACCAGGGATTTTTTTACCGTACTTGTTTGTTTAACTGTACCAAAACACATACATTCTTCCGTTGTTTGTGACCTTGCACGAATTCGGTAACCTGGCACGAACTCGGTATTCTTTTGATACCACGAGATCGCTAACAAATACATCTCAACTGCAGCCATCAACTGCCTTCTGATATTTGGCCTACGAGGAATCTGGCACATAGTCTTCCTTTAGTGGTGATCATAGTCAACCGCGATTCGACGCCACACTACAACTATCGTTTAACTAATATACACACTTGTATTCAAAGATGATAATTTTTATCGTAAATCTCTCATGATCATCTATTATCTCTCGAAGCTTATCTTTTAAGTTATACTTGTCAATGAAGTATATTTCATTTAATTGGCTGTTTATTTTTCTCATCACGTTTAAATTCAATCAACGAATAACAATATTTTATTGTTGAACTCATGAGTCAATTGAAGCTAAACCACAATGGAAAACCTGGAAGCACAGGATGCCCGTTTCACCCTAGTATATAACTCTTCATCAATGCGCATCCACGATCACGACTCATGAGATTAGAACCCAGAACCTGTCAGTCTCGCACGCGAGCGCCTAGCCTGTAAACCACTGAACCGGCATACGAAGGTGTTAATGTTCAACTTTAACTAATCCATGAAATTGAGCCACTGTCCAACACGGCTGAGGAATCCCATATTAGGAAGAAACAGCCGTGCATCGCTTCAAAAATTTCCATGATAGTCTAGCCCTTATCCATTCATGAATTCAACTATAAAATTACTAACATTTCCACAAAACGCTTTTGGCTAGTAAACATTCTTAT